TTCATTGTGCTGGCTCAATACGTAGAAACGGTTTAAATAAATAAATAGATAAATAAATAAATAAATTTACCGAACCGGCCTTGGTGGTACCTCCACGTGACGCCTGATGACACGTGGCAGCACATATTCTTACATACATGCAACTCTCACTCACACAATATTGCTATTGCAAATTCCGCCCACTATTTCGTTGCAACAGATTGCACTAATGTAAGAATTCTTTTAAGAAAGAGGAAGACGTTGCACAATTTTTATAGAAAAATGTTGTGCATTTACTTACACAAGATAATATTTAATTCCCTCACTTTCCGAAAATCAGCGTATATTTCTGTTTCTAAATATGTTCCTTCTTGACCGTCTATTTCGAACAAAATAGGAGGATATCGATAACATTCAAACGTACAAGTTACGATATGATTATCAGACAAGTGATACATTCTACTACTTCTGTCATATTTACATTAACTATAAAGTCGCACTTTTCTAAGAAATGTGTATATATAAAGTAGCATATAAGAACGGCGAACACATCAGTATTCTAACTTATTAGCGTCGTACCGAAGAGCTTTGAACGTATCTATTAATTTTGTGTTCCTCCGTAAGAATCTAGTTTCTTTAGACGATACTTCACAGGAGGAGGCAATTTATATTAATAATTATCAAATAAAATGTCCAACGTTATTCAATGCTTGGCTACCCAGATAGCACAATCGTTATGGACGACGGACTGGATACTGATTTTTCTTCAAACGCTCATCATACTCTACAGACCTGACATTGCCGATCCCGAAAACAGGGTCAGGCCGACACCTCCACCCAGTCTACGAAGTAATTATGACTTCATTATAGTCGGGGGTGGCTCCGCGGGTTCCGTATTGGCCAGTCGATTATCCGAAAACGAAAAGTGGTCGGTGTTGCTGCTCGAAGCTGGCCCAAACGAACCTCATGCCACTGATATACCTGTCGTATATACGAGTGTAGCATCGACTTCGTTGGTGTGGAATTTTACATCCTATCCATCTGATAACTATTGCACGGGACAAGACAATCGGCAGTGTTCTTGGTTCAGTGGCAGGGTATTAGCTTTTTATATAATACAGTTATAGTATATAATAATAGATATTCATACAGCTTTTGATCATCGTTTAGACCCTCGGTGGAAGTAGCACGATAAATGGGATGATCTATATACGTGGGAACAGACGAGATTATGACCGCTGGGAGGAAGCGGGTAATCCAGGATGGAACTACGAAAGCGTGTTACCGTATTTCAAGAAATCCGAAGACATGAGAATCGAAGAATATCAAGAATCCCCCTACCACGGCGTCGGTGGATATCTGACCGTCGAAAACTTTCGTTATCGTTCACCTATAACTAATTATTTAATGGAAGCAGCAAGAGAAATGGGTTACGACGAAGTTGACCTGAATGGAGCAAATCAAACCGGATTCAGTTTAACTCCTGGAACATTAAGGGATGGTCTGAGATGCAGCACAGCGAAGGCTTTCCTTCGTCCAGCTTGGAGGAGAAGTAATCTACACATCAGCACCGACTCTTACGTGGAAAAAATCTTGGTACGAGATGGTGAGTACAAGTATCGTGTTCTGCATTTAGAGTTCCGATTTGTAGGGATAGAAAAATTATTTAAAATAGGGGCATAAGGATTTGCTACCCCATACTCCCTTCAAGATCAGATGTCTTTTTAAAGAAAAAGAAAAACGAAGAGAGCTTTACATTATTACTTTCACATTGCAGATGGAAACAGGAAAATTGCTTATGGTGTGCAATTTCGTCTTCAATCTACTAGTTATAAAGTAACAGCTAATCGTGAAGTGATACTGTCAGCTGGGGCAGTACGATCGCCACAACTGTTAATGTTGTCTGGTATCGGACCAAGAGATCATTTGGTCGATTTAAACATTCCAGTGTTTCACGATGTCCCGGGTGTAGGGAGTAATCTTCAGGATCATGTGACGTTCACTGGACTCAATTATAATGTGACTATCCCAAAAAATTATTCAGGATCCGAACCTTTCTCATACGCAGGGCAGGATGCTTTTGACTCTCAGACCCTCACACAGTTCGCCATAAACAATACTGGAATGATGTATGAAAATCCAGATACTGACAGCATGGTTTTAATTAATACTAGGTCAGTCCATGTCAGTAATTAACACTAGGACTACCGACGACTTACGTATACCTAAGTCTACGGGAGTGGTCAATTGACTCATCTCGGTATATGGAGATATACTGTATAAAATTGTACACCAAAAAACCAGAAAACTGCTTCAGAGAATTAATGACTTGCATATTTTAGGAATTCAGGAAAGGTAATACGAAATTTTAGTATAAAAAAATTCGTTTGCAGATATGCGAACGGATCTGGAGATTATCCTAATGTAGAGTTAGCATTATCACCTGGAGGAAATGCTACGGCAACTAACGTAGTAGCGAGCACGACTTCCTTCTCTGTGTTGCCATTATTATTAAGACCAGGAAGCAGAGGATACATCAGACTAAATGCCACGGATCCTGAAGGATTTCCAATCATAGTTCCCAACTATTTCCAGGATCCCCAAGATCTTGAAGTTTTGGTAACGAAGTTCACGAATATCCAAATAGTATATAGAATTCATGTTGCGCTACAAATTTAAGATTTATTGATTACTAATATTCATACACAAGCATCGATCTTCAAATGATTATATGTATTCCAAATTTAATTTCAGGCCGAAGCAGCGCAATTCGTTTACGATATGTCGAGAACATCTGCGTTGAGATTTTTAAACACTCAACCGGACATAGACAGAATTCCTAGCTGTTCAACGTTCGAATATTTGTCAATGAATTATTGGCGTTGTTTAGTCCGATATTACACTGCCTCGGGGTTCCACCCAGCTGGTTCGTGCAAAATGGGACCAGCTAGCGACCGAATGGCAGTGGTCGACGCTAGACTCAGGGTGCACGGTGTATCTCGACTACGAGTGATCGACGCCTCGATCATGCCTACCATCGTTTCCGGGAACACGAACGCGCCTACTATAATGATCGCTGAGAAGGCTTCTGACATGATCAGAGAAGCCTGGACAGCACCGTTAATTCCTGCGATATAAATTAAAATGTATATTTTACTGATACATAAACCGGAAAGAGAAACTTCTCACATTTTTGTCTCCGTGCAATAAACGAATTAGCTCTGAATCCAGTATGTCTTCCCGTGATTTTCCTACACTAATTGTGAACCAACTCCTAATCATCGTTCCTATACTCCACGTAGAAGAATAAAATCAATTCAAACGGATAAGGTTTTGATAAGTATGACAGCACGTCCGAATATAATAATGGTATTGCAATAAGTTCCACCGACTAGTTCGTTGCAATAGGTTCCACCCTATTATGTTGGTTGCAATAGACTCCACCCACTAGTGCATTGCAACAGATTAGACCCTCTAATGCAAGAATTTTTTTTTAAGAAAGAGAGGTTGCACACTTTATATAGGTAAATTTTACACATGAAGTGAAGATTTATTTTTTTTGCTTTTCGATATCTCGTGTCGTTTAAATTTCATGGTTACTTACGCGGGTGGAGTGGTTACAAGGGGGACTAAAATAGAAAATTCAAGGTTCTTTCTGAAGGGAAGAGGAGATAAGTAAATTATTTCTTTCATAGGGAAGGGGAGATAAGTAAATTATTAACAAGCTTAACGAACATTTATGGAAAATTTATCCAAAATCAGTGTGTATCGGTATATTTCTATCTTGGACTATCACCATGTATTTGAATAAAACTAGGAGGATCCACCGATATTGATGACATTTTGATTAACATGAACCGGTTCAGTTACGATACAATTATCAGACAACTGATACTTTGTGCTATCTTCCTCGTGGTATTAACATTAACGACAAAGTTGCAACGGTATATGTGCAGGTATATACATATATATGTATATATATATATAAGGTAGCATGCAAGGATGGCGAACACGTAAGTATTCTACGTTAATAGAGTGTTGTCGAAGAGTTTTGAACGTATCTATTAATTTTGTGTTGTACTGCAAAAAGCTGATTTCTCTAGACAGTAATTCACAAGAGGAGGCAATTGACATTAATAATTATAAAAAAAAATGTCCAACGTTATTCAATGCTTGGCTACCCAGATAGCAAACTCGTTTCAAACGAGGGATTGGATACTGATTTTTCTTCAAACGCTCATCATACTCTACAGACCTGACATTGCCGATCCCGAAAACAGGGTCAGGCCGACACCTCCACCCAGTCTACGAAGTAATTATGACTTCATTATAGTCGGGGGTGGCTCCGCGGGTTCCGTATTGGCCAGTCGATTATCCGAAAACGAAAAGTGGTCGGTGTTGCTGCTCGAAGCTGGCCCAAACGAACCTCATGCCACTGATATACCTGTCGTATATACGAGTGTAGCATCGACTTCGTTGGTGTGGAATTTTACATCCTATCCATCTGATAACTATTGCACGGGACAAGACAATCGGCAGTGTTCTTGGTTCAGTGGCAGGGTATTAGCTTTTTAGATAATACAGTTATAGTATATAATAATAGATATTCATACAGCTTTTGATCATCGTTTAGACCCTCGGCGGAAGCAGCACGGTACATGCACATATACACTTACGTGGTAACAGACATGATTATGACGGCTGGGAGGAAGCGGGCAATCCAGGATGGAGCTACGAAAACGTTCTACCGTATTTCAAAAAATCTGAAGACATGAGAATCAGAGAATATCAACGATCCCCATATCACAACGTCGGTGGATACCTGACCGTCGAAAACTTTCGTTATCGTTCAACTGTAACTAATTATTTATTAGAAGCAGCAAAAGAAATGGGTTACGACATAGTTGACCCGAATGGAGCCAATCAAACTGGATTCAATTTAACTCCCGCAACATTGAGAGATGGTGTGAGATGCAGCGCAGCGAAGGCTTTTCTTCGTCCTGCTTGGAGAAGGAGTAATCTACACATCAGCACCGATTCTTTCGTGGAAAAAATTTTGGTACAAGGTGGTAAGTACAAGTATTCTGTCTAGAATTTCCATCTGTAGTTCATAATTTCCGTTCTTCTGTACGATGTGACGATCCACTACCCGAAACTAGCTTTACGATCGGACGTTTTTTTTAAAGAGAGAAAAGAGCGAAGAAAGCTTTCAAATTGCAGATGGAAGCGAGAAAACTGCTCATGGTGTGCAATTTCGTTTTCAATCTACTAGTTATAGAGTAAAAGCCAATCGTGAAGTGATACTGTCAGCTGGAACAGTACGATCACCGCAACTATTGATGTTGTCTGGTATCGGACCAAGAGATCAGTTGGAGGAATTAAAAATTCCAGTGTTTCACGACGCCCCGGGTGTGGGGAGTAACCTTCAGGATCACGTGGGGATCCTTGGACTCAATTATATTGTAACTATCCCGAGAAATTATTCTGGTTCCGACCCTTTTTCATACGCAGGTCAGAATGCTTACGACGCTCAGTCACTCACACAATTCGCCATAAATCATACTGGAATGATGTATGAAGAACCAAATAATGACGGTTTGGGTTTTATTAATACCAGGTTGGTCTATGTTTATAATTAACATGCAATTTTCATGACTCACTGCATTAATTTCTTTAATCCAATTTAAATATTCTACAAATTAGCACATTTCGTTTGTAGATATGCAAATGCATCCGGAGATTATCCTGATGTACAAATAATTTTAGCACCTACAGCAAATGTTACGCAACCTTACACCTCGACAAGATCAGCTTCCTATTCTATGGTGCCTATAGTAATAAGGCCCAGAAGCAGAGGACACATCAGACTAAATTCTACAGACCCTGAAGACTCTCCGATTATAGTTCCCAATTACTTCGACGATCCGCTGGATCTTGAACGTGTGGTAACAAAGTTCACGAATATCCTTAAGAAAATTCCATGATCAAATAATCAAATAATTATTTTAAGTTAGAAAATACTACGCATTATTTGTATTGTGCTAAACATTTAACATTTATTTATTCATAGAGAAGCATTGATTTAAATTTTTGAATCAAAATCACATTGAATCAGTATATACATTTCATATGTAATTTCAGGTCGAAGGCGCGCAATTTATCTATAACATGTCGAGAACATCTGCGTTGAGGTTTATAAACGCTCAACCGGACATAGAGAGAATCCCTGGCTGTTCATCGTTCGAATATTTGTCAATGAATTATTGGCGTTGTTTCGCCCAATATTATAGCGGCTCGGGATATCACTTAGTTGGAACATGTAAAATGGGACCAGCTAGCGACCGAATGGCAGTGGTCGACGCTAGACTCAGGGTGCACGGTGTATCTCGACTTCGAGTGATCGACGCCTCGATCATGCCTACGGCTGTTTCGGGAAACCCCAACGTGCCTACTATAATGATCGCTGAGAAGGCTTCTGACATGATCAAAGAAGACTGGCAGAAATCAACACTGCACTAGTTTCGTTGATTTTTATAATATGAATTAATATCTATATTTTGAAGGAAGAACATTTTACATTTCTGTCTCCGTGTAATAAACTAATTAGCTAATAAACAAATTCAGTATATCTTCTCATGCTTTTCCTCGACTAATTATGAACCAACTCCTGATCTGCGTTCTTATATACTTCACATAGAAGTATGAAATTAATTCAAAAAGATAAGGTTTTGAAAAGTATGACGTCCGAATATTGTAATAGATTCCACCTACTAGTTTGTTGCAACAGATTGCTTTGATTTATTCGCTTTTCGATATCTTGTTTCGTTTAAATTTCATGGCCGCTTATGCATGTGGGATGGTTACGAGGGTGGACTGAGATAGAAGATTCAAAGTTATTCCTGAGATAGGGAAGGGGCGTGAAGAAAGATAACTAAATTGTCGTCAGGCTTAACAAATGTTTATGCAAAATTTTACTAAAATCAGCATGAATCTGATATTTCCGCGTCAGACCACGTGTGCCCTCCACCGTGCACTTGAACAAAGCTGGAAGGATTTGCCGATGTCAATATCATTTTCATTAACATGAAGCGCACGATTTACAATATAATTATCAGACAAGCGACAGTGTATGATAATTTCATCGAGATATTTCGACAAGGGCAAATTTTTATCATTCTAAGTGCATTCATACATATATAAGGGGTAGCATGTAACGACAGTAAACAGACAAGTATTCTAAATTAATAGTGTGGTGTCGAAAATTTGTGAAAGTGTATATTATCTTTATGTCGTGCCAAAGAAACCTAGTTTCTTTAGATATTAATCTTAATCTTCTTAAGATAGATAAAAAATAATTATCAAATAAAATGTCGAATGTTATTCAATGCTTGGCGACCCAGATAGCAGACTCGTTACAGACAAGGAATTGGATACTGATTTTTCTCCAAACGCTCATCATACTCTACAGACCTGACATTGCCGATATCGAAAACAGGGTCAGGCCGACCCCTCCACCCAGTCTACAAAGTAATTATGACTTCATTATAGTCGGGGGTGGCTCCGCGGGTTCCGTATTGGCCAGTCGATTATCCGAAAACGAAAAGTGGTCGGTGTTGCTGCTTGAAGCTGGCCCAAACGAACCTTATGGAACTGATATACCTGTTGCGTACTCGAGAGTAATACAGACTTCGTTGGTGTGGAATTATGAATCGTATCCATCTGATAACTATTGCACGAGACAGAACGATCGTCGGTGTTCCTGGATCAGTGGCAGGGTATTAGTTCATCAGATAACACAATTATATGGTAATCCTTCTTATTTTTTATAGTTTTGATTATTGTTTAGACACTCGGCGGAAGCAGCACGATAAATGGGATGATCTATATGCGTGGGAATAGACAAAATTATGACAGCTGGGAGGAAGCGGGTAATCCAGGATGGAGCTACGAAAACGTTCTACCGTATTTCAAGAAATCTGAAGACATGAGAATCAGAGAATATCAACGATCCCCATATCACAGCGTCGGTGGATATTTGACCGTCGAAAACTTTCGTTATCGTTCACCTGGCTCTGATTATTTTATGCAAGCAGCAATAGAAATGGGTTACGATTTAGTTGACGTGAACGGAGCCAATCAAACTGGATTCAGTTTAACTCCCGCAACATTAAGGGATGGTCTGAGATGCAGCACCGCGAAGGCTTTCCTTCGTCCAGCTTGGAGGAGGCGTAATCTACACATCAGCACCGATTCTTTCGTGGAAAAAATCTTGGTACATGGTGGTGAGTACAATTATCGTGTTGTGTGTTTAGAATTTCGATTTCTGATTAATAATTTCTAGTTTTCTATACGAGATAAAAAAATTATTTAACCCTTTCGCTTCGCCGAAATTGTTTCACCGTGCCGAAAAGTGTGCACATTGCCGACTATAATTATATATATTTGATGCCGACTATAATTGGCACTCATAGCGAAAGGGTTAATTCGCTACCCCAAACTTCCTTCAAAATCAGACGTCTTTTTAAAGAAAAAGAAGAACGAAGACAGCTTTATTTAATTACTTTCAAATTGCAGATGGTGACGAAAAGACTGCTTATGGTGTGCAATTTCGTTTCCAATCTACTCGTTATACAGTAACAGCCAATCATGAAGTGATACTGTCAACTGGCACAGTACGATCACCGCAAATATTGATGTTGTCTGGTATCGGACCAAGAGATCAGTTGGAGGAATTAAATATTCCAGTGATTCACGATTCTCCAGGTGTGGGGAGGAATCTTCAGGATCACGTAGGGTTCAATGGACTGACTTATAACGTGACTATCCCAAGAAATTATTCTGGATCCGAACCTTTCTCATACGCAGACCAGGATGCTTTTGACTCTCAGACCCTCACACAGTTCGCCATAAACAATACTGGAATGATGTATGAAAATCCAGACGATGACGGTTTGGGTTTTATTAATACCAGGTGAGTCTATGTTTATAATTAACGTGCAATTTTCATGGCTCGCTGCATTCACTTCTTTAATCCAATTATTAGACTAATAATGAGCACATTTCGTTTACAGATATGCAAATGCATCCGGAGATTGTCCTGACGTAGAGATAGTGTTATCACCTGGAAATGGTACGGCAACTAACATTTCAGGAATCACAACTCTTTATTCTATTCTGCCAGTATTAGTAAGGCCAAGAAGCAGAGGATACATCAGACTAAATGTCACTAATCCTGAAGGATTTCCAATCATAGTTCCCAACTATTTCCAGGATCCACAAGATCTCGAACGTTTGGTAACGAAGTTCACAAATATCCAGATAATACACACGACTCATTGATTTTCGAATTAATATGTGTATTTAAAATACAATTTCAGGCCGAAGGCGGACAATTCGTCTACAATATGTCGAGAACATCTGCGTTGAGGTTTATAAACGCTCAAATGAACCTAGAGAGTATCCCTAGCTGTTCGTCGTCCGAATATCTATCAATAAATTATTGGCGTTGTTTAGCCCGATATTACGGCGCCTCGGCATTGCACCCAGTTGGAACGTGTAAAATGGGACCAGCTAGCGACCGAATGGCAGTGGTCGACGCTAGACTCAGAGTGCACGGTGTATATCGACTACGAGTGATCGATGCCTCGATCATGCCTACGATCGTTGCGGGAAACACGAACGCGCCTACTATAATGATCGCTGAGAAGGCTTCTGACATGATCAAAGAAGCCTGGAACAATGCCATGCCTGGACAGCTCCGTTAATTCCTGCGATATAAATTAAAATGTATATTTTACTGATACATAAACCGGAAAGAGAAACTTCTCACATTTTTGTCTCCGTGCAATAAACGAATTAGCTCTGAATCCAGTATGTCTTTCCGTGATTTTCCTAGACTAATTGTGAACCAACTCCTAATCATCGTTCCTATACTCCATATAGAAGAACGAAATAAATTCAAGAAGATAAGGTTTTGAAAAGTATGACAGCACGTCGGAATATAATATTCCTATTGCAATAGATTTCCATTCACGAATTCGTTGCAACAGATTGCACTAATGCAAGAATTTTGTTAAGAAGGAAGATGAGGTTGCACAATTTTTATAGAATAATTTTGTGCATTAATTTTTCCAAAACAATTTCACTTGCTTTCCGATATCTCGTCTCATTTACATTTTGTCAAAGTACGTACGTATTGGTCACCGATATTTTTCTGTCCGACGACCTACGTATTTCGTCGTGCATTTTAACAAAAGCTGATATCGATGACCTTTTAATTGTCATGAAACGAACGTCATAAAGTACGATGTAATTATCAGGCAACTGATAGGGTGTGCTAATTTCGTAGAGGTATTTGGTAAAGATAGAACTGCATTCTATGTGTAGCATATAAGAGGATAGGATGTACAGACAGCGAACACACAAGTGTTTTGATTTAATAGTGTGGTGGTTTTCAAGTCTCACAGGAGGAATTGATATTAATAAATATCAAATAAAATGTCGAGCGTTATTCAGTGCTTGGCTACCCAGATAGCACAGACGTTATGGACGACGGATTGGATACTGATTTTTCTCCAAACGCTGATCGTGCTCTACAGACCGGACGTTGCCGACGTCGAAAACAGGGTGAGACCGACCCCTCCACCCAGTCTACGAAGTAATTATGACTTTATCATAATCGGGGGTGGCTCCGCGGGTTCCGTATTGGCCAACCGATTGTCCGAAAATGAAAAATGGTCGGTGTTGCTGCTCGAAGCTGGACCGAACGAACCTTACGCGACCGATATAACAATAATGTCTACGAGACTACAACCGAGTTCGTTATTCTGGAATTTTACAACCCTTCCATCAGCTAATTATTGCATAATCCAAGAGATTGGGTGCAATTGGGGTCACGGCAGGGTATTACATTTAGATAACGAAAACAATTGAGCTATATAATATAGCTCAATGAACAAAAC